TATTCCGCCGGCAAACGCGAGGGAGCTCAGGCCGCCGCCACTCACTTCTCAGGGAAAGTGCGCGAGCAAGAGCCGCAACAAGGACACCCGGGGGCGGCTTTAAAGCTCCAGCCTCCCGCCGCTCAGCTTCTCCCCTCATACTCTTCTACCTCCGGCGGCGGGAGCGCGGCTCCAGTCAGTGGCGGCGCCGGCCCCGGCCCCGAGACGTTTGGTCCGGCTGCTTCGAGCTCGCCCGTCCGCGCGCCGGCAGTTCAAACTTTGAGTGCCCAGCCCGCCGCTGCCGTTAGCTTCCAGCGGGCTGCCGAAGCCAGCGGCAGGACGGCGTCGCCCGGCTTGCAAAGTTTGAACGGTACCGCGGGAGCTGTCAAGTTGCTCAGCTCTGCCGCCTCGACAACAACGACGACAACAACATCAACAATAACAACGACGACGACGGGGGCGGCGGTGACGGCGACGGCGACGGCGACGACGACGATGGTGTAAATCATTGAGACGGCGAATAGCCCCCTTTCGGTCATGGCCGCCCCGGTCAACTTCCTTCCCGGAGCCCAGTCCGCGGCTCACCCCGCCCCCCAGCACAGACTCCCCAGCGCGGCTCAGAACGGCGTGGAGTCCAAAGGGGGATCTGTGGTACCCCCGGGGGCTCCCTCGCCGTCTCAGGTGGTGAACCACAGCAAGATGCTGGTGCCGGGTCAGCCCGCTTCCGGGAACTCGGTCATCCTGACTAGCACCCCGCCGCCCCCTGCTACAGCCTGCTCGCCCGTCGCACAGCCCCTCGTCCCCCCAGCGGTCAAGCCGGCCGTCAACGGGCTAGGCCAGGCTGCAGTGAGAGCAGCTGGCGCCGTCCACCTCCAGAGAGCCGGGACGGCGACCGGGAGCGTCCGTCCAGCTGCCCCTCACCCCCTGTTGGCCGTCCGGCCTCAGCAGCAGGCAACCATCCAGCTGCCCCCCGGGTTCACCATGCCCGCAGGTGAGCAGCTTGACCAACCCACACAACTCTAAATATTCGGATGGAAACCAGTCACCCGTCCATGTTTGTCGTGTGTCAGGTATGGTTCTGGTCCGCATCGAGACGGGTCAGTTGGTGATGGTGCCGCAGCAGGTCCTGGCCCAAGCGCAGGCCAAGACGCAGCAGAGCCCCGGCCTGACCGCCGTCCCACAGAGACCCGCTGGGCCCACCGCGCCCACTGCCATCCGGGTCAGCACCGCCGCTCCGGTGAGTCGTGATGACACCGCCTGATGCAAAAGTCGCTACGCACGCCAGGGGTCTCGCGTCTGATTTTGTGTGGGTGGGCGGGTGTGTGTGCACAGACTCCTGTTTCACCTCAAAACATCCGTCTGGCGACCCCCCCTCACACCAGACTTCAGTCTCCCTCCTCCTCTTCATCGCCATCCTCGTCCTCCTCGGTGCAGGTGAGACGCTTTCTCTTCTTCCAGTCTAATCCTAGCACGAGCTCGAAGGCAGTGGCACGCGACGACGACTCACGAGTTTTAATGTAAAATATCTACCAATCATCTCTTGTGGACTTAAATCCGGAGAGATGATGTATCAAAATGGCCCTACCGTCACCCATCCAAAAATCTGAACTGAAATGGAAGCCAGCAACCGCCTGTGAGAGAAACCAAGGATTTTGCACAAGCAATAAATGATTCTGCATTTACAATAAACAGTATCAGATTTATTCCTTCAGTGATTTCTGCTAAAATAAAGGCCAATGAGCCACAAGTTAGTTATCAACTTGCTGTACTAATCACTTTGACTTGCCATCTTTTAAGTGTCCACTATTACAACTCGACAACATTCTGCGCGTGTAAGTGCGGCGTATACACATGGTAGTAAGTCAGAAATTAGACGATAAAAACTCTGCAAAGTTTGTGGCTTTATCACTTCAATTTTTCAAGTTTCGTGAAACAATGATATGGAAATTTGATTGAGTGCTCACCTTGATTTCTTATGGAAGCCTTTCAAGTGCTTATTCCATATTTTGTTAAAAATTCCTCAAACTAGCTGGCCACTTGTCACGTTGCTCATGTCAGCATAGTGGGGGTGGGGTGCAATATCGTGGCACTGTGATGTTTGTTGATTTCATTTTTGTTCTCTTTCCAAAGGCCATCACGGTGACCTCCGGTGCCGCCGGTGTCTCGGTGAAGATGGCCCCGCCCCCGAAGGTGCAACCGGCATTGGCGGCAGAGGTCACGACTGCCGCACCCACAGCGACGGCCGCCACCGTCAAGCCGTTGGCGGCGGCGCCCGGTACCGGTGCCGCACCCGGCGGCAGCAGAGTGACGCTGGTGTCGCAGGTGCGTCCATTTGGTCGAGGGTTGCGGCGGCGAACGGGTCGGGAAACGTTCTGTTGTGCTTTGATGTCGACAGGAAATGCAGGAAAACGTGAAGAAGTGCAAAAACTTCTTGGCCACGCTCATCAAGCTGGCGTCGAACAACTCGCCCTCGCCGGACACTTCCAAGAACGTTAAAGCGCTCGTCCAGGACCTCCTCGTACGTTAACGTGCGCGCGTGTATGTGTGTATACACCACCGGGGTAATGTGCGCATGTGTGTGTTGGCGTGCGCGCAGGATGCAAAGATTGAGCCTGAGGAGTTCACGAGTCGTCTGCAGGCAGAGCTGAAATCATCCCCGCAACCGTACCTCATCCCCTTCCTCAAGGTTGTCATCGTCCTCCCGAATCCTGAACGAATCACAAGAAGCAGTTGGTGTCGATCATCTCCCGTCAATCATTGACCCTCCAATGTTTTACGTCTTCAGAAAAGTCTTCCCGCCTTGCGTCAGTCACTTCTCAGCAGCCAGCAGTCGCTGACCACGCCCCCCGCCTCCAGCTATGCCCCACCCATGAACGCCGCCATTCGACCGCGCTTACCTGTCGGAACGCCCGGCGTCCGGATGAACGCACCGCTCGCCACCGCAACGGTGGTGGGGAAAGATTTTCACTTTCCTCGCATGTTTTTAATGAAACCAAAATAAACAATTTGATTACAATGTTGTTGTTTTTTTTTTTTGAAGGCAATGGGTCGCAGCACGATGCAGGCAGTTCGTGCCCCCATAGTGGTGGGTGTGAGAACTCCAGGTGAGTGTTGGCAAGTCTTCCTTCCAGCAGGTGTCAGTGTGGCGCCGGGGCAATGCAATCGGCTCACCGCGCTGGCCTTTTGCTTGTTTTGCGCAGGTGCTCTGATGCGAGGACCCGCCGCCATGGTCGGTAAGAGTGTGGTCACCTTGGCGGCGCCAGCCAATCAGAAGAAATTGGGAGACCCGGGGGGCGGGACTTTCAGGTGAGTCAGGAATTAAATCAACTATTTTCCAATAAAAAAAAAAAAAAACGTATTAATGCAAAATTAATACTTTTTGAGGGGGAAAATTAATAAAACAAGTTGGAATTTAAGAATTAAAAAAATAAAATCCAGGGGAATAAAATTGCATCTTTGCAAGAATTTTCTATAGACTCTCATAATGTTTTTCATTTATACTGCAATGGGAAACTTTGCTCTTTGCTCCTATGATGGTTTGCCTTGTCTTGTGCTCAAAAAAAAATTGTGGATGTGGACAAAATTGTAGGGAACCCCATTAAGGCTTTGAGACTTGACTTTGTTGCAGAGACGACGACGACATCAACGACGTGGCCTCCATGGCCGGTGTCAACCTGAGTGAGGAGAACGCCCGCATCCTGGCCACCAGCTCCGAGCTGGTGGGCACCAAGATCCGTTCGTGCAAGGACGAGGCCTTCCTGCCCGCCGGCCTGCTGCACCGACGCATCTTGGACACAGGTGAGCGGGTGCAAAAGGCCTCGCTCGGGGTGGCAAACTTGTCAAGATGGCGCCAAGGAAAGAGAAAAGCTGCGGTGGCTGATCAGCCGCCGATAGGAAAGGTTGCGCGTGCTCGTTTGACGAATTTTCCCGACTCTTTTCACTTCTGGGCCGTCAGTTGGTGCTTTGTGTTGCCAGCAAGCCTGCGATTATGCTACATCACCAGGATTCCTGGAGAAATCTTCAACAATTGGAAAAACAAGGCCGTCGTTGGGATTCAAATTCCTTCAAATAATCATTCCAAAGTCTTCAAAATGATATCCAGGATTCAATGATTGGAAATACTCTCCAATCTCTTTCTTTGAAAAACGATTGACTGACTGACACGTGGCAACGTCATTTGACTTTTTCAAACCAGTTGATTTCTTTACATCATCTCTTGTCCTTTTATACAAAACCGTCTTATATTTTTTTATTTATTTATTTTTAGAAAAGCATTTTGTAAACCGGTGGTGTTAATTTGCTAGCGAGGTAAACCGCATCAAATTTTTGAAGGTTTGCAAAGCGGCGCCGTCCTTGCGCTGACGAAGTGACGAGTTGTTTTGCCGATGCTGTGTTGCGTGATCAGCTCGCAGGCTCGGCGTGAGCGAGGTCCCCCTGGAGGTGGTCAACTTGGTGTCGCACGCTACGCAGTCGCGACTACGCTCGCTGCTGGAGAAAGTCACGGCGCTAGCTCAGCACCGATCGGACGCAGTCAAGGTGACGCAACGACGCAGTAACAACCCGACCCGAAATCCGATGACGGTCGTGCGAAATGCCGCGACGCGAGAAGTACCCTGCTAACCCGGAATGTCACGGCGCGCTTGCTATTGCGGCCAGGACGAAGAGCATCACGAGCAGACGAGCGATGTTCGCTCCCAGCTACGCTTTTTCGAGCAACTGGAGCGTCTGGAGAAGCAGAGGAAGGACGAGCAAGAGAGGGAGATCCTGCTCAAGGCCGCCAAGGTCCAAAGCACGAGTCCGAACGCGGCAGCGCGCCGGCAACGCTCGGGCTGACCGTCCTGGGCTTCATTTGCGTGTGTGTGCGTTTGTTCGGCAGAGTCGAGCCAGGCAAGAGGATCCCGAGCAGGCCCGTCTCAAGCAGAAGGCCAAAGAGGTTCGTTTGATTTTGGTGTTCACAGCAGACGGATGAATTGGTCAAAATGACCGTTGATACCCGCAACCGCACGATAAGCACTCGGAGGGAGACAAACGTGGATCGGGAAAATGGGATTTGATCTTTGAACTAGTTGGATGTTTTTGTTGACAGATGCAGCAGCAGGAGTTGGCTCAGATGCGCCAACGCGACGCCAACCTGACGGCGCTCGCCGCCATCGGGCCCAGAAAAAAACGCAAAATGGACTCGGCGGGCGGTGGCGGCGCCGCTGCCGAGGTAACGCCTCACCGCCAAAAAGTACAAGTTTTAACGGTCCAACGGTTCATCGGTTAATCAACAATCGATTTGCAAATTAGTCCACTTTTTTTTTTTTTTTTTTAAATCATTGATTTGCCTTTTGGAGGGCATTGTTTAATTCAAATTGTCTAATTGCTCTTATTTCAGCCTCTCGGGGGTAAACATTGTCCCATTTCTGTCTTCTTCCATGAGAGCAGACGGATTAAAAAAAAAAAAGATCAAAATAAGACATTTCCAAATGTCTGCTTTTATTTTTTTGGGGGGGGGAAAAACGCTTATCAACACTTTTGCCGATCTTTCTGATCGCTGTTAGGCACCACACCAGGAACTGAATCATCATCGGTTGATATTTGTGCATTTTCTGCACAATCAATTTGAAGTACAGTGGTCCCTCGTTTCTCGTAGTTAATGGGGACTGAAACCACCCGCGATAAACGAAAATCCGCGAAGTAGCGAACCCCCCCCCCGTATAGGTATATGTACATGTGTATGAGTATAAAAAATATTTATAAGGCCAAATTTAATGGTATACATGCATGTAGAAGTACATTTTGTAGTAATTAACATTACTTAATGCTGTATACTCATAGATTTAAACATGTATAAGTTAGGTTAGGTTAGTGTATGACTAACAAAATACAGTAAACATATGCACGTAGTACTCTATTTGTTGCACTGTGTGACTCGCTATTGTTTTGCTGACTTTCGCTGCTTCTCGCGGACCATTTGTGGACTTTTTGCGGACTTGGTTTAATTAATTTTTTTTTTATGAATATGTTTGAAAAAAATCCGCGATAAACGAACCGCAAAATAGCGAGGGATCACTGTAATGTCCTGTTGTGGAATAAAGGGATGGAAAATACATCTTTTTTTTTTGTATCCGACAAATCCCCCAAATTATGTACAGAGGACTCATTCCCACTGGCCCCTGCTGTCGACTGCAGTTGACATCAAAATACTCTTGGCCTTGTGACCGTCACGTGAGCAAAGCCAGAAAACGAGTGACTGCAATTTCAGTCGCCAGCAGGGGCTGGTGGAATGTCAAGATGGCAGCTCCCTGACATGGATGAAAATGGGCAGATTCATCGAATTGCTTCTTATTGCACCAACGCAATATTCATCAGAAGTCACATCACACACACACACACACACACACACACACACACACACACCAGATAAAGGAAATGGATGAGTGGACACTTGAGTTCATCAACCCGACTCAAGGAACGGTAAATGAGCACACACGTTTGCGGTGGCGTGAATGTGACGTGCTCCTCTGTCGGCAGGTGTCGTCCGGGTCGTCGGCGGCCTCGTCCGCGTCGTCTTTGTCCTCGCCGCGGCAGCCATGGCGTCAGCGCATCACCAGAGTCAACCTCAGGGACTTGATTGTTTGTCTGGAACAGGACGGCAGCACCGCACGCTCGCTAATGCTCTACAAGGCACTGCTCAAGTGAGGACGCATCCCGGACCGCTCCCTCACACTCTAGGAGTGAAGGTGGACCCACAACCTGGACGCCCCCAAGTCCACACACCGCCGCCCCCCCACCCCTCCCTCCCAAGATCATCCGCTGACGTGTGCCTTCCCCCGTCGCCACAGCAACACTTCCCGTAGTATCACGTGACCACATGTGGGGCCGGGTCAGACGGCGGCCGTAAGTGTTCGGCTTAGCGTCGGAGCTAACAAGCGACAGCTCGGATTTGGTGGCAGCCCATCTGTAAAGGGGTCTTGGGCTAAATGCGCGCGCTAGATTTCAGAACACGAAAATGGGGTTCTGCCCACACACACACCAGAATCTAACCCATCAGAGGTTGAGCCGGCCGATCAACATCATGACCTGACCATCAATGACATGCTAGCAGTGACAGGAACTTTTTCCATGTAACACTCAAGCTAGCTGACTGCTTTGCTAACATGCTAAAGTAGGGCGGACACGCGGTGATTGTTCAAGTCAAGTCGGTCGGCTAAGAAGCAGAAAGAGGCGGCGCCCCGGAGCCGCTTTGGTTCTGGCCTCCTGCGCAGTGCCACAGCAGCACACTTTCTTTCCACTTTGATCTTGTAGTGCGAAATGCAGTTTTTCTTCACTTTTTAAGACTTTTTGCAGGTTTTTAATGTTTTCTTTCTTTTAGTTCTTGTGATGAGCGCCTCGGTCGGTCGGTGCCAACTTTTACGATTATTTATATTTCCTACATTCTCTACTCAACCATGGACTTTTACACCTGTTTGTACCTTTACTCAAATGAAATAAAAGACCTTTGGAAAGTGCGCACGAGTCACATGAGCGGGCAGTGATGTCACTGTCATGATGTCATTGCACATGGGTGTCACCATGGCGATGGCTGGGCCCAGCAAAGTTTTGCGCTAATAAAAAGTTGAAGCAATACAATTTATGCTCTTATTTTGAAATGATTCGTCATCATTCAAAAAGAAGGTTTTGAGGTTGAAAAGCATCGGCAAGATGCAATGAATTTTTGCATTTTCCAAAGTTGGATGTTGTAATCATCATACATCAGTTTGACATTGCGCCTTTCAAAAAAGTCAAATGGGCTTTACAACCCCCCAAAAACAAAGACAGACCAAACAAATAAACAGGTGAAATGGTTAATGGTTTGTTGAAAGAGGTCCATTTTGAACAGTTTTTGGAATGATGTGGAGGGGGGAGTTCCTGTCCCCAAAGATCCAAAGTACAGGGATTTCGGCGTGGGAAGGGTGACTGTGCTGCACAGAGGTGTGGGCAGGTTTTGAGGGATTTGTTGGCGATGAGCAGGCTCTTGAAGCGGGTTTGTTGTTGTATGGGTGGCTGTGGGTGCAGACAAGTCGTGAACATGACGGGAACTTACAAATTGGTCCGCAAAGCTCCCGAAGCAAAAATTCTTGGGAGAGTCCAAAGAGTGAGGGATTGTCATGAGGCACCGTGCAAGTGGACGTTGGTGACACGCCGTTTCCCAATGTCGTGCAGGATTCACTCATCAAAGCGTTGAGTGTGTTAATAATGCTCGAACTGACCCAACTAATTTCGAAGTGACGTCACGCAGAAGGCAACCAGGAAACCCACTGCTGAGTCAGTCATGTTTATGATTTGAATGAATGTTGATTGTGCCATTTGGTCGGGCACTTGACAACCACTTCTACAAGAGGCAAAACGTTCTCACTTCAAGTTGTTTATTTGTCACGCTAAGCCATTGTTCCATGCAAACGACTCTGCTAACAGTTTATTTGTCACGCTAAGCCATTGTTCCATGCAAAACTGGCGTGTAAGATAATTGATTTAACAACGAACGTCCGCCAAGCTAGCTAAATGCCATCACGCAGTACTGTATAAACCAGACATGCTAATCAAAATTAGCACCCATGTTACGGAAAAGAATAAAGCTTCTAACAACACGCAGGGTGTTGTCTACTTATCTTGTATGATTACTATTCGCGAAGGTAAACGAAACAACGGCATGTCAGCGCTTATGTGAAGCTCTCTTCAGCCTGCTAACCAACGGCGAGGTTGGTGACTCGCAGCCAGAGCAACAGCTTGGCTCCCGGTGATCGATCGCTTTTCTTTTGTGTGGGCGTCAAATCACTGGCGTCAAATCACTGGTTCGTAAAGATTTGCGGGAACTGTTACGTTACAGCCAACAATGACATGCGTACAAGTGAGACGAAGGCAAATGACGTTTTGTTGGGGTTAGCCTTTGAACACTGTATGTCCAACGGCAATGCATTGTGGGAGTAGCAGAAAAGGCCAAAAATACACTTACAACAAAAAAGCAAAAATACTACCTAATGCCAGTTATCTATGCTCAAAAAAGAGTGGGAAGAAGGCTAGACTGATTAAATCCCACCCCTTCTCCATATTGTCCATATTTATATATTTATTTTTCATCTATACCAATAAAAATACTGAAGATAAGTAATAGTGACCATAAAAGTTACCATTACATGGTGATAACATAAACTATTATTATTATTAAATGCCATCATTATAAATCAACATAGACGGGACCCAAAACAGATCCAAAGAGCCAACAACAAAAAAAGAGTACCAAGCAAGAGTAAACCTACATATATAAATAATCAGAAACACTCCTGAGCACCTCGTGACCATCTATCACATCTCCATTTCATCGTGACAGTCGGACGTTTGTGTTTTGTTCGGAATTGATTAATTTGTATCCATTGTTTTTAGACCTCAAGTAGACTGATCATCATTTTCATCGTTTCACCCCAGACACCTGGGAATGACATCCTGTTTGTGCCAATGTCATTTTTTAATGTTTTGTCCTAACTTGACTAAATTGATGTCCAAGGTGCAAACTTATATGACAAGTTCTTCTCCCGGTTGAAACCAGCAAAGAAGAAGAACTCTTTGTCTTAGGAACAACCGCATGTTTGGAAGTGAAAGCGATCTTCTGTGGAAATTATTGTGACGCTTTTTAAACGCGCCCGCGGTGGCCGGCCAGCGCACTCCGGTAGTGACGTCACGGCCTCATCGACAAACATGGCGGCGACGCTGGGCCGAAGCTTCTTTGAGGTCTGCGCGTTTGAGCGGGAAGCCGTCCAAAGGTTCCGAGATGTCCAAATCAAACTCGGTAAAGTCAACGCACGCTTGGATTGTGTCCTGTTGAACGCGTCCAACGTCTGGCAACAACCTAGTTAGACAAAAAGACATTACGCTGATGGCACATGCTAACAGGAGCCGGCGGCCGATTACGCTCTGCGCGCGCGCGTGTGTGTATGAATGGACCGCAACTTTAATCGTAGTGTTTAATTTTGTTGTGTACAAATTTGATGAAGCGACATCGGCATGTCCTTAAATACCTTAAACGTAAGTTCTACAATAGATATAAATCTTTGTGTATTTATAAATGAAATATTTAGACGAGACCGCCCCCCATATTGAGGCATTTTCAATACGGCAATATTGTGGCCATGGTCACATTTTTATTGTCAGCCAATCGGAGATGGGCTTCACAGAGCAGTGGAGGAGATTTGTCGGGAGATTTGGTGGCGTTTCCCGTTAAGACTTTTTTTCAAGCACTCCAAAAAGCCACGGCCTGATTTTCTAAGTTGGTGTGATGTGCGCAGCTCCAGCGCCCGCTGCGGGAGCCGTGAAATTTCCAGATTCTGCCGGCGCCTTCCACTATGACACCGGCGGCGGTGACAAAGTGCACTCCATCACCAGCAACAGATTCATCTCATGGTCAGTGGCACTCACCCTATTTTTATCGGGATTTGCATTAAGATAAGATAACCTTTATTTGTCCCGCACTGGGGAAATTTGCAGTCTACAGCAGCAAAATTGGCGCGGGGGG